AATAATAATAACAATAATAATAATAATAACAATAATAATAATAATAACAATAATAATGATAACAATAATAATAATAATAATAATAATAATAACAATAATAATAATAATAATTAATAATAATAATAATAACAATTGATAATAATAATTAATAATAATGGATTTACTTTCTAAAATTAACTTTTGGTAGTAGATTCAAGTAATGTCATGGTAGAAGATAGTGCTTCTCCACACTATTTTTTTTTGAAAGAAATCTAAGGCAAGCTTCTTTTATTTCTATCGAATTTCTTATTTTCAGATTTTATTTGCCCTCTTAAGTGGTGAAAAATTGGCACTTTGGTCAGTGGAAGAGAGGAAGAGTTTGGGGAAAGATTTACTTAAAAAACTGAATTTACTACGTGTTTGCATGCAAAGGCAAAGTGCATCATGGAAGACAGAACATAAAAAGTAAGTTGTAACCTTTACTATCGTTTTGATCTTTTTATGCAGATCAGTAGAGATTCAGGAAAAAAGATTCTGGAATCTGACTATTGAAATCTTAATCTTCACCAGGCTACATGATTTCCCTTATTTTCTTCCGTATCATTTTTGATATTTCATTATCAATGATCCCAATACTACGTAGAAACCTCAGATGATATGAACAGGGTGGACAAATTCGAATACTCTCTGACTTACGATATTGTGACACTGATCTCATTAAATTTATTAAGTAAAAGGAGAAAGAAGAGAGTATTTCCATGTCTTTATTCACTTTTTTTTGCAAAAATAAATTTATAGCATTGGGGATTGTCAATTGTTTGGTGAAAGTGTTCCACGTAAAACAACCGTAAACGATTCAAACGATCCAATGCTATGTGTGTACGACGTTGAAGGCCGATGGCTTAAATGCAGGAATTATAAAGGTACATTACATGAAAAATGGTTTTCTCATATTTATATATTTCACTGTTTTTATGCAACTCCCTTCAATGTACTTGTTCAAGCTATTGCAAAGTTTAAATTCATCAGTTCCTGTCAACTACAGACATTTTCAGGTAAATTGTTAAGCTTCTTGTCATCAAAACGAAGTGACTCATTTCCTACTGACTATGCACTGATTCAGTACGTTATGGCACAGTTAACAGATTTGTGCTCAATCGTATATTTGGCAAAATATACCGATCCAAACGAATTACGAGAACACTTACAAATAGAAGAAGATGATTTTAAAATGATTATCAATTTATTGGCTGAAATCGACTTCTTGAAATATGGTTGGATGAAGGAAAAGATGAAAAAGAAGAGAAGCTTAGGAATGATTGCTGTTAAAATTTAAGTTCATTTATATTTTGTGTGAATCTGTATATTCCTCAGCGTTTGTAAGTTTATCGATCTTTGATATCTTCATTGATCAGTTTGGTTGGTCAAAACGCAAATTTGCAAAATTCGTCCCTACATCCAAATAATATACCATTTTTACCAATAAAACACAACTTTAAGCTTCGGCTTTCCGATTTTTTCTTACGAAAATTGAAGTTTCAGGAATGCTTTGAATTCAGCAAAAAGAAAGGAAAAAAAATCTGAATGATAACGAGGCAAGAGAGCATTAACATAAAACTGAAAATAAGTGGTTTGCTATGATCGCATTATTTTTTTCTGACGGAAGGTAGAAGTTTGCAAGTCCTGCGTCTAACTCCCTCTTTCTTGAAGAAAGGGAAAAGAAATGTTGTTTGGCAGTTTTATTGAAGAAATTTCCACGTCAAGCTAACGAAATCAGGGTGATTTATTTAAGTTGCTAATGATCGTTGGTGAATTTACATAATTGAATGGTCAGCAATCTTAACAAATTTTTGGTCCGACACAATTTCATCTCTCACGACTTTCTCTATTTTTGTTTCTGTGACATATTTTATGTCATTTCGATATCACATCGAAAGTTCCTAGTTCACCTTGGCTTGTGTCCATCATGTTAATTCAATGCGAATCAAAACCACAAATTGCACTCATTTGTTAAAAACTCGTTTTTACATAACATAGAATGAGGAATTCTAACAGTTCTAACATCTTACTATTATCATTCAAAAACGGTACGAGAAAAAGGAAATCTTGATAAATGTTCCAGCTATAATAGAAATTTAATCCAAAAAGCAAATAATTTTATTTATATAAGGAAACTAAAGGAATTAAATTAAATCAAATTATAAGGTCTGTAATAATAATTTTTAAGGTGTGAATGGCTTTTGTGTACAATAAGTATGCAAAATTTAACTTAACATTTAATTAAGATGATTAAAAGAATAATAATTTCGGATTAAAAGTGGAATTCTGAATTTAGCTTTAACACTATTTAGATTGAATTTTGTTAATGCAATCTGTTTTGCCATTTTTCTCCTTTCGAATTATTTCTTCTTTCTTGATCGTTGCTATTTATAGGAAAAAGAATATTACGTATTAATTAAATAAATAGCTAATTGAATGCTGAGAAATTGTCATACTATTTATTGCTGTTTAATTTGAGCAAATTACTAATTTATTCTGGATATTCTGATAGTAACTATATGCTACCAAAGAAAATAAAGAGAACTAATTAGTCTAATTCTTTATTAGGGTCACTTTAGGGACATCAAAATATTAGAGTCCTTTCTTTTTTCTTATTTTTATCCTTTTAAAATTTGTCAGATGTTTTCATTTCTAATTTATTTCAAAAACAAAAAAAGAGAAAAGAAAAAAACATTTCTTAAATTTCATTTTATTATTCTTCAATGACAACAGGAAAAGGATGCAAAAAATAACGAAAAAGTGACAATATGATACTACATTTAAATTGTCATTGGATTCATTTAAATATGAAATTGAAAAACAAACAACTTAACAAGATAAGATGAAAATTATTGTTGGATTTGATAAATTACTGATTCACTTGCAACTTCGTGCATTTTCTTGTTGTAAATTAAAATGTCATCTGAAAATATCGAATAATTGAAATTACAAAAGGAACATTAGCATGCTATAGTATGCTTAAGTTATTTAAAACATTTCTGAAGGAAATAACGGAAATATCAGATACATTTTCTAGAAGAAAAAAAATATTACCAAACAGCAGGAAAAATTTGAATAGTGGTGTTGTTAATTAACATCTTACATCCTGCATCCTGCATCTTGCATATAGGTAAGTCACAAGAATGCAGAAGGAGGAGAGAGATCAAAGAAGAATAACGATATTAAAAACATTCGAAATATTTTGTAAATTATTTGTTCTACAAATTATGAATTTGGATTCTTATCCATTCTATATTCCATGTTTGACTTAAATAACTTAACAAGAGAGATTACTCCTTTTCCGATTTATTTTTTTTTTCATTTCAAATTTTTGAAGGGAAAAAAGTTTACATTTAATATATGAAATTACGATAGGACAGTTTCCCATTGTGTTTCTATTTCCTTGAATTGCCATACGATTGGTTGGCCATAATGCTTTGCTCGAATATCGGTTGTAGCCCAACTAGAAAGCTTTCCAAAGTTTCGGTACACGAATTTTGTTACATAATAAAAAATATTATTGATAACGAAACTTTTTTTTAAAAAAAAAGAAAAAAGACCAGTATTACATAAATTAATGATAATTTGTTGTGATATTACCTGAAGACAGGAAGAGGATCATAAGTTGGTCCACCCCATGCTTTAAAACGAAGATTCTTGAACAACTGATAATTTGTTCCCTGAGAAGCGTTTTATTTCATTTAAATCCATTAATTATTATTATTAATTGAATTTCAATTGTTGAAAAATACACCTAGAATAAATGGGTATAAAAAGAGCTATAAAAATGAGATGATCTAATTAAAGTGAACAATTTTACATGATTCTTAATTTATATTTCATAATTAGCTAATCTATCATTAATGAGAGTTGCAGATTTCATAAGGTAAAATATGAACGGATGAAATTATTTGGATTTTAATTACAAAAAAATTACTTTGTAATCGATACTACCATGATTTCGATGACCCATTCCACTAATTTCATATGTACCATTAGCCGGATTCAAATCTCCACGTGTTGAAATGCTTGCTTCTGCTGAATATGGTGGTATACATTTACATTTGCTGAATTTCTCATGCTTATAATCATTGTATCTGGAAAGAAATTTGTCCTCTTAGAAAGTTTTGATATTTTCTTTTTTTTTGGAAAGCTTGTGAAGAAATTACTTTTAATTACCTCATCAATTTTTGTAAGCTATCCAAATTGGTAACTTTGTAATGATCACGATTGAAAATTTTAGCGCGTGGACAACTTTCCCATTTGTACCAATCCGATAATTGACCTTTTTGCTTGAAACCAGTTATTTCACTGATCGTATCGAAATACGGAATATTGTAACTTGGCCAATATGAGTAATTCTTTAGAAACCATGTCATATCATGAGCAATTATTAGTCCACTAAATATATTTTAATTAAATAGTTTGAAAAATTAATCCTTAAATTAATGTGCAAGAAAATTTGAGAAAGAGAAATCTTTTCATAATTTAATGATTGAAAAATTCCAACCATGCAGTTGAATAATTGACTTGTATTTGCTAATTGACATGGTTTGTCAAAAAAAAAAAGGCTGAAGTTGAAAACAAAAATGATATTATTACTGTCATTACTAGATTAAAGATGTTCCATTACTGCATTATTAAAAAAGGGCAAAATTGGGGTATAACAAGCTATAACATATATTTTGAAAATGTTTCAAAAAGTTTTAAGGAAAAGCTTTCCTTAAACTTTCTGTCCTAATTATGAATATAAACTGATTAAGAGATAACAGTAATAGTAATAGTAGCATGAAAAGAAGTGATATGATAAGTGATAAAAAAATCATCCTAATTATTATCCATTAAAATGAAAGAAGCCAAAAGAGGATGGAAGAATCATTGTAAAGAAGTGTTTTTTTAATTTTTACAAAGTTAAAAAAAGTAATATTTAGAAAGATTTCTTTTCCAATTCATATTTTTGAACAATGCATACGGTGCTTGCTCCAAAACCCATAAAAGGTCATTGGGTGGAGGTTCTCTGTTTGGTTTGAATAATTTATAATCAACCACACTCCACTGATTATTGTAAGTACCCGAGTTGTATCGTGCAAATATGTGCACCCATTGTTTTGCGGTACTGAAAAAAGAAAGTGTTAGATTTAATTAATGAAAACTGTAGAAATAGCTATGTAATTTAAATTTAAAACAAAAAAAAATCAAATTACAACTTTAATTAGGCAGGAAAGGAGAACAAGGCAAATAACGTATTACTTCATGTTCTTTATGAAACAGAAAAAACAACTTCATTTTTTTGGAAAGAAAAAGAAGGTAATAACAAACTTTGCAAGCCGTGTAGCAATAATACTACGAATCCAACAATGTAATTGTCCTTCTGTTCTGACTGCATCATACAATAGCTGATTGAATACGTTAATTGTCGTTTCAATTATTGCCTGGTATTATTTTGAAAAATATTATAATTAAGCGGTAATTAATTAAGTTTCAAATTTCTAATAATCCACACTTTACCACATAAATATAACATTTTTTTAATGGAGATATGTGTAAAAATCAAAATAATCAATAATTTATATTTTCGCCATTACACTGATCATTTTTCTAGCACGCATAATATTTCAATAAAATAATAGCACAATACCAATCCAGAACTTCCAAGGACAAAATCATCCAATGATGTGAGTGCACCTGGATATGACGAGAAAGATGTTGCATAACCAGGTACCTTTTGTTCGTCTGTAATAAATAATATTATACTAATAAAAAATATACTAATATACTAATAGAACCATTAAACTTTTTAATTTTCAATCATAATGTCCATTACAATAATATATAATATATATACTACATAAAGTATAAATTTACAACAATATGCTTTATATATGTAATTCATCAAGGAGAACAAAATATAGTAATGAAATAATTTTTATGCGTTTTTTTGAAAAATATTTTCTAACAAATTATAATATTGCGTTTGTAGCATACATAGGGAGTTTATAGCTTTATTAATTAGGAATTTTACGACTTAAATATTTCAGCATTACAGTAATCCAAACTAAATATTCTCTTTCTTTTTCCTTTCTTTTCAGCAAAAAAAATCTTTATGTAGAATTGACATTTGTAACAGTTAATCATAGTTAATTAGTGAAAGATATTAGCTTGAAAGTTGAAAGTTTATTTCATATCATTTACGTTTCGGATATGAAAAAAAGTTAAGAATTGTCGAGATATTAATTGTTTTTATGACATTGCATATTCTACAGCAATAAGTTTGAATGTTAAAAAGGAAAAAAAGAAGTACCACTTCTATTTTAAAAATTAATATATTTGAGGAAAACAAAATTACCAAATGCAAATTTATAAAACTTAAGAATTCGATTCATCGTTTCATAACCGGACATGGAAACATGAGCAATGAATAAGTCAGCATTATTCGGTGCTAATTTTACCAAACCAGAACAATGACTTGCATCAGTTTTATTTTTACCAAATATCTTTGCTAAATCAATGAAGTCACCAGCAAGTTGGATCATGCTATAAAAGTATGAAAAATTGAAAAGAAACAAACTGCAAATTTCAATAAATCTTATCAAAAATCAATTATTTTTTCATTGCCAAAAATTAAACTTTCTTCAGTATTTAAACTGAAAATAATTCAATTTTAGAGTTTTTTTGGATTGAAATTTAATGAAGAAATACATTTAGAAAATCGACAATAATATTAAAGGAATATTTCAAAATTGGTAATTGTTGAAATTTCGAAATAGGACGACATGGGAAAGAAAACAAAAAACATTCCGAAAAACGGCATAAATTATCAATAATTAATTTCAAATATTTCTATCATGACAATTTCTCATTGCATAGCCTTAAATAGTATTAAAACTTACTAAATTGCTGTTAGTTCGAATGAAATTATTGGTTTATATATGGTAGGTGATTTCTTGAAATATCCATTATTCATTCCTGTTAGCTGCGCAAATGTTAAATTCACCTACAAAATAATGATATATTATTATTTAAACAATATGTTCGACTTTTTAATTTCTAGTCTTCCAAACTTTTTCCGACAAAATATGTAAATGAAGAATTCTGATAAATATTACCTATAAATGGTAAATTACAACTAAAGACTAATAAAGATTGGAATCACTAGTATATTATATATATATATATATATATATATATATATATATATATATATATATATATATATATATATATATATATATATATATATATATATATATATATATATAT